CGGTGTATACCTCATAGGCGCTAAGAATAGGAGGAAGAGTTGACCTTGGTGTTTTCGTAAGCTGCAATACACATTTCCCATCCGTGCATTGATTTGGCAACTTGTCATACACGATTTCCATGTCTAATGTAGGAAGAATAGGTCCATATAAAAATGCTCCATTCAGAATCAGATTGAATTCCCGTGTATCGTTTGCTTGTAGAGTCTGAAGCTCTGGAAAGTATAAGTAGGGATAACACTGTGTCGTAGGAGACTCTACAGTCCACTCAATATCCAACGTCGCGTTAGCATCTAGAGGTGTTGCTGCCGTTTGCATTACCCTTTCTGGCGGATTATATGGGATAATAGTATTTTCGCTGAGATTTGTAGTTATTGGTATCCAGAGCATTTCATTGAAAACTGGGAACCAAAAACGATCGTAGAGATCATACGGGTACCTGCCACGAATCTTGTATTAGACCAACATAGGACATCAAGTACGCTTAGTTACATATCAAAATGGTTTTTAATTACCTAATTGAATGTGTTGACTTGTTAAGATAGATACGGGACAACAGCTTGAGTGAATCACTTGAAGTACGATACGCCTCAGGATGCAAAGGTCGAAGCTCCAAGACATTTAAGAAAGGCGTGCCTAAACCTATATTAACTAGACATATTTGTACAGATTTGGATCTCATCAAGTGGATCACCTCCTTAATTGTATCGTTAGCTTCAACCTTTGTCCAAATATTGGGACCTAGGTAAAGGTCGAAGGTTGGGATGATATTACTCCGGTCGTAGTTTCCGTATACAAACGTGGCTCTTATCAGATACTTTGTGCCTTTCGTGACATTGATGTTGTAGCAATTTCGTTCTCCCTCGGGAAAGAATCTTAGGTTCCAACACGGCCTAGGGTAGTCCGATTCAAATTCCTTATCGACCCTGCCCATTTGCATACTTTGTGTGAAATCTGTGTCCGTTGTATATATCAGATTAGTCAGGGGATCTTCGTAAGGAGAATCATTGGGAGGCAAACCGCAATCCAGATTTATGAAACCTTGCCATATACAATATTAAAAAAAAAAAAAAAAACCATAATGAGGAGATGATTTCATTCTCTGATATTTTTAGAATCTTAGAAAACGTTCTATAATATATACAAATTTAAAATAAATAAATAAATAAAAAAAAATAGGTACGTACGAGCGGTGTGATTTTGGGGTTTGACTAGAACACATATCATCATGATCATCCACATGACAAACACCAAATAACCTCTCATCATTAGAAACCTGCAAAAATACGTAGGAGTTATATTACGAAAAAACAAAATAGTCACAGTTTACTCAACACAAGAACCCAAAAAAAATCTAACGATCAAAGAAGAAAACAAAGTATAAAATAAACCAGTGAATTCTCAGAGCAAGAAGAGACCTTAAGACCCGGCGTCATCAGCATGTGAATTGAGCCAAACATATAATAAGCAATTGAGTCCATATAGAATTAATGAACCAACCCTCTTTTACAAACAACAAACAACAAACAAACGCTTTTAATATCTTAATTATCAATCCGTAGACTCTAGTTTTGAACATCATGCATGTACATATATTGACTTTTGAATTTGAACACAGAAAAGAGTACATGAGTTGTTTTTGCTAAAATACACTCCTACCTAGTTACTTGAAACTAAAGAAAAATCCTCTTTTCTGAGATAAGTTCACGTGTGTGTGTTTTAATTTTGATAGGCCGTTGCGTTGTTTACAGCCAACTTTGTTCTCATTAGTTGTTTCACGACCTGCTGCTTAATTACAGTCCATATACGCACGCACATGCATGATGTTAATTTCTAGTTCAGAATCGAGAGGTGTGCTCTGGACGGCTGGCTCATCTAGCATTAATGCCCGTACTATAAGAGAGAAATGATAATAATTAATAAGGCTGCAGAGGAAGGATCATGGGGACTGTTGATTTTGAATAGAATCTTCTGCTGTTAGAATATTTTTTTGGTATCCACTTGTAACTGTTTATATATATACAGTATCCAACTTGGTATATCTTTCATCATGATTATTTTGCATTGAAGGTAAAGAATTACGTAAGTAGATGATAATTATATATTTCTACAGAATAATGATTTCTTTTCTCCTTGATACACAAGTATTCGTACAAGGTGCCAGAATATATTAGGAAACATACAGTATATTACTTTATAAAAAGAAAAAGAAAAAAAAAAACTTAATTCAAGTATAATAATATTCCATGTGATATTAGCACAATAGCACACCATACAATACTGCCTCATCATGGACCCGCAGGATCAGGAGTATTGCACCACCATATTGCAGTTTTTTTTGCACTCATCCTACAAAAAACAACTGGGGTACCGGGTGGCAAGCTCGGATTGCACGGTCTAGTACCATTGGGATAACTACGATTGGGGTCATCTTTCAGACAACCAAGTTCTAAGCCCCTGGGAGGTAGTCTGGAGGACTCAATTCTGATGAAGAAAGTTGATAAGACGAAGAGTATTAAGAGACAACATACTACAATTCCTCTCCATGTATTATTATTCATCTTGTCTTAAACAACACAAGAGAAGATTAATCACAACAACTTTTTTTTTAATTTTGTTTCTTGTTTTTTTTTTTTTGATTAACTTTTTTTTTGTTTTTGTTATTTCATTTTCCTAAAACACAGTTTCTGTGTGTTATATAAGAAATAAGAATTTTTTTTTTAGCTGCGGAAAAATGAGATTTACTATTAATAGTGTGGAGTTTTTTTTTTTGTTATTATATGTTTGTGCTATTCTTAAGGTTACGAAATAGGAGGAGTGATTTACGTCTTAAACACAATATTATCAACGGCTGGTTTTAAGCACCAAGAGATAATGGACCAAAAATCTGTAACTCTTACGATTTATCAACAAAATACATACAAGTAAATGATGTTCTTTTCCCGAAATTAACGTGACATGGTTCCTTACTAGCTATTTTAGTAAGTGCATGCATGAAACGGCAGAACTCATTGTGTTGAATTGAAAAGGAAAAAAAAAACAATCAAATTGCAAATTTGTAATGAAGTGACGTTAGTGGAATATTTCAATCACAAATAAATAAATAAATAAATAAATTCGCAGAATCAAATTCCAATATAATTTTTGAAAACTTGCCCGAATTGATTCACATAACAAAATGGAAGCTTAATTACGTGGACAAATCCTCACATAATAAAATGTACATTTTATTCTTTCATAGATAACAACGAATAATAATATCATTCTCTTTATAAACTCATCACTCAAATGCATTTGTTGCAATTGTAAAAAGAAAAACCAAAACAAAGCTCAATCATGGCTACTCGGAGAGAAGTACGGTGCCAGTGCGGCAGACGGATGTGGGTTCAACCAGACGTCCGTACTGTCCAATGCTCAACCTGCCACACCGTCACGCAGCTCTACTCGCTCATGGACATAGCGCGCGGTGCAAACCGCATAATTCATGGGTTTCAACAGCTACTTAGACAACATCAACCGCAACATCAATATCATGAACAACAACAACAAATGATGGCTCAACCGCCACCGCGGCTGCTTGAGCCCCTTCCCTCGCCGTTTGGGAAGAAGAGAGCAGTTTTATGCGGCTTGAACTATAAGGGAAAAAGTTATAGCTTGAAAGGTTGCATCAGTGATGCTAAATCCATGAGATCTTTCTTGGTTCAACAAATGGGTTTCCCTATTGACTCTATTCTCATGCTCACAGGTTGTTTTTTTTTTTTTTTTTCCCCATTTCTCTAAAACTCTCTGTTTCTATCTTCCTGATGATGAGTTGTGTTACTGTTGCAGAAGATGAAGCAAGCCCGCAGAGAATCCCCACGAAGAGAAACATTAGGAAAG